GCCGACCGCAGCCGCCCGCCGGCGAGGACGAAGACGGGAGGATCAGCAGCGGCAGCAGTAGCGGCAGCGAAGGCAGCGACGGGGGCAGGGGCGGCGGGGGCGTCGGGCCCACATCGCCTGCAGGGGCCGGGCACGAGCGGCCGGCGGCGGTGGCGCCGGCAGCAGCCAGCGAGGGGCCGCAGGCTGGACCGATCGGGCCGGCGGGGCCTTCGGAGCCGCCCGCAGCAGCAGAACAGCAGCAGCAGCATCGGCAGCAGGAGCAGGAGCAGCAGCGGCAAGAGGTGACAGACGAGCAGCAGCAGGAGCCGTCCGGCGGCGAAGGCGACCGCCCCGCCGCCGAGACGACACAGCCATCGCCCCCGCGGCGCCGCGTCGTGGGCCCGGCGATGCCCGCGCCCGAGCTGCTCGCGGCGGCCGCCACCTACAAAGCGGAAGTCGAGGAGTCGGGCGCCGGCTGGGGCGCCCGAGACGCTGACGAGGACGACGACGAGCCGCTGGTCGGCCCGCCGCCGCCCGCCTTCATTGAGGCGGACGCGGCAGCCCCCGACGATGCGCGCTCGGCCGAGGTGGTCCGCGTGCTGCGAGTGCTGCGCGAAGCGGTCACCGGCAAGGGCGGCGGCGGCGCCGCCGCGGCGGCGGCGGCGGCGGGGGGCCCAGGGGCTGAGGCGGACCCGTATGAGGTGTTGGGGGTGGCGCATACTGCAGCGGCCGCGGAGGTGCGCAAGGTGTACTGGCGGCTGAGCCTGCTGGTGCACCCGGACAAGTGCGCGCACGCGGGCGCGGGGGAGGCGTTCCAGGCGGTGAGCAAGGCGGCGGCGACGCTGCAGGACGGGGCGGCACGGAAGAAGGTGGACGAGGGCAGGTGGGGGGACGCGTGGTGTGTGAGTGTGCGAGTGCGCGTGTTTGTGTGTGTGTGTTTGTGTGTGCATGTGTATATGTGTACATGTGCGCATGTGTGAGGTGGTGTGTGTGTGTGTGACGGTGTGTGTGTTCGTGTGTGTGTGTGTGTGTGAATGTGTGTTGGGGCCGGGGCAGGGGCAGGGGCTGAATGGCGGGGTGGTTTGCTGGGTTGCGCGCCAGGTGGGGCCCAGCAGCTGTTGGCGCCCACACCTCAGCGCCCGCGTCCCCGCCCGGCGGCCGTTGAAGCGAGCGCCTCCGCGCCGCCCCCACCACGCGCCCACCCCCACAGGGAGGAGGCGCAGCTGCGCCGCATGGCGCTCGATGTGGCCGCAGAGCACGAGCGCCGCCGCCAGTGGGCCGCGCTGCGGGGCGAGAAGCTACCGCCCGAGCTCGAGGCGGCGGCGGCCGCGGCGGCGGCGGCGGCGGCGGGGCCGGCGGCGAGGGAGAGCTGGATGACGGAGCTGCCCCCTGAGCTGGACCATCTGGCTGGGCCGGCCATGGAGGGGCCGCGGCAGTTCAGCAGGTGGGGGCGACGCGCGGGGCGAGGCGCCGCGGGTCCGCTTGCGGCGGGCGGCGCGGCCGGGGCCCGCGCGCCGTGCGTTGATTGCCCCACCCC